GCCATGGTGGCATAATGGCTCCTGAAAACCCCTCTTCCAGCTGGAGGAGAGGAGTAAGGGAGAAGGAAACTGCTGCTATTGTTAGCAGGGAAATGGAATAGTTAGTATTGAATATTGATCTTCTGCCAGTGAATAGAACACTTCAAGGGGATGGGTGGGTTCTGGTTTATGGCTCTCACTGTGAGAAGGCAGGAGATGAAGCAGGAGAGCCCTTACTGTTGTGCTGTCAAAGTACACCACAAACGCCTGCACGGCCTCGGCGATCTCGGCAGTCACGTGGAACGTGTTGGGGACCACACAGAGGTGGATATCTGCACAATAGTATTTGTTATCGATCGTCCAGGGGTAGAAATTCACTCTTCCCCTTGTTATTGCACCCACAGTCAGGTCATCTTCTCCTGTGATACCTGCAGGAGAGAAAATGGGTGAGGAGGAGGGTAAAACCAGCAGCAAGAAAATAATTTGTCTAGAAAAGCACAGTGCCAATGCAGATCCATCTTTACTATAATAAACCAGTACATAATCAAGATCTTTAAAAATTCAACTCAATTTGTTACTCTGTCCCAGATTTTATTGCTTAGTTTTCAAAAGAGTTTATTTTCTAGTTTGCAGTTTAAAGTATGACCCAGAAGCTGCAGAAAGCCTTTTGTTTTCCTGGAAATGCCTTTTCAAGTGTTAACCTCACACTCAGTAGCTGTAAACAGGATGTATGGAGAGAAAACCTAAACTTTATTACAACCCTTGCATGCACTTTGAGATGTAAAGATCTGTTTAACTGTGACCAAAAGCTGAAGGTAACTAATGAGAAAATAAACCCAGTTCCTACAATTCAGCTGCAATTCCCATGAAATTCCTTGTGGGAGCTCAACCATCACAATCCAGTGCTTTGCTCAGGTGCTGCCAGGCTCTGCCCTTCCCGAACTCTCCTGGAGCTGAAGCAGAGCTGGAAGCACAGCACCCCATTATTCCTTGAGGGAAAGGCCAGGAAACCTTGTTCAGGCTGGATGAACTCGTGAACACCTTGGAACACAGGTCAATGATTTCTAAAATGGACTGAGTCATCCAGAATTGCCCGGGGCAGGAGAAGAGTTAAAGAATAAAGCACATGGCTTTTCAAGGATTTGTATTTGAAGGTACTGAGAGTTCCTGGAGCTGCTGGAACAGGCTGTTCCCCAAATAGTCTGGAGATGAATTTCAATTTATCTGTATCTTATTAGTAAAGAGACAGGAAAACCTCCTTGCCAAGGCTGCAGTGATTTTTACAACTAAACTGCAAAGCTGAGAAATGGATCTGGTGACTGAGCACGGGGCACAAGGCAGGAGAGCAGCAAACCAGGATTATCTGCAGCCCTGGGGAGGAGATGGAGTCTGAGGGAGAAATGTGACCTTGGAAACAGAAACCTGCAGCCATTTCCTCCTTAAGAGGGTGAAACAGGAGTCTCCTCTCAGGGTTGCTTAAAATAAGAAGTGCCACATCTAAATGATTTTTCCAGGTTCAAGTTTGATTTATTTTGGATGGCAATTATTTTTCAGATGATTTCAGGTGATCATCTTTAATCAGATATTCCATGCTAAGATTACCCACCTCACTTTGGAGCTGGGGGACAAAGATCCTGAGTCACCACCAAACAAACCTGGGTTCTGACCTTTGTATTCTCAGAGGTTTTGTTTGGAATATGATATTAATTTCCCTTTACTAGTGTTTTAACAGTTAAAAAATAAATAAATTAAAATCAGTCTGAGCTAACAGAATTACAAGTCAATGCCACAAGAGGCTAAGAATAAAAGGCTCCACAGAAATTAATGAAAGCCAGAAAATAGCAGTAAGACTTGGGGAGGAAAATGGGGTGAGGAAGAAAATCAGCTCTGAAGTCACTGAGTCAGTCACCCTAGCAAGGATACAAAGGGGAAGAACCCTCAGAAAAGGTTTTCAGAAGCTGATATGAATTTCACATTTGCTTTGTAAGGGACATTTTTTTAGAAGAGCTCATGGACAAATTTAGGTCTGAAAGCACTGCTAGAATGAGGCCATGTCCCATTTCCTACTACCTGCTGCTTGTTCCTGTATTTTAAGGGGTTTTCTTTCATCCCATTGTGCTGCTGATTTCCCATCCTTCATGCTGAGATTCTGCCAGTTCCCTGTGGAATTTCTCTCCCAGTAATTGCCCTGTTCCCTAATACCCAAGTAGTATTCCAGCACTTTTAGCACATTGTGTGTTTATTAATAATTTTTTAATGATTACAACTTCTTTTTGCAGGTTTTTTTCCCAAAGAGATTAAGATATTTACCACTTTCCATAGTGTTTTTCAGATTGAATAAATGTTTTAAGAACATAATGCCCTAAATGCTCCCAAATCCTCAGAGCTGCCAGGTACACGGAGCAGTTCCCACATTCTGGGCCTTGAGAGCCACCTGGTGGAATAAACCATAAAAAATACTCCTAACATTACACCAAGGAGTAAAGAGAGCCCAAATATGCTGGGGAGGAGGGGAGTGGTAAAAATCCAAAAAGAAAAGGAAGAACAATCAGACAGAAAGAAAACTGAACCAATCTTATTTGCAGTTTTGTGGTAATTACATCACAATAATAACAGGCAGATCTATGTTGAGCACTTTAAAAAGATTTGTTTTGCCACAGTGTCTCATGAATTAAAGCATTCAGAGAAACCTGAACACATAAAAATATATCTAGCAAATGTACCATCAGCTGCTTCTCATCCTCCAGCCTTTTTCTATTGAACAGGAGGAAAACCCTGGAAAAAGTCTTGGAATTGGCCTGGAAAGTTCTGGCAGGTTCTTTCACCCCACCAAACCCTCCCCACTGCTGCCCCATCCCTGCCTGGGTGTTCTTGAACGTTTTACAGTCTGCAGCCTCTGATTTCATGTCACTTGGGACTTAGGATGCTGATGGTATTTATTTTATCCAATGATTTTACTTCTTTCAGGAGGATTTAATGTGACCCAGTCAGAGGACACACAGACAAGACTCCAGTTTTGGTACTGGGAGCAGTGGAAGCTGAGATATTCCAAAGTGAGTACTAGTCTTAAAAATATATGAGCTTGTATTTTAAGATTTTCTCAGATTAACTAGCTTTTTGCTCACCTACCTTTTCTACCTGTTTCATTTCACTATGTAAAGTAATCAAAGGGGAAACCTAGAGGAATCTTGAGTAATTCCTTCCAATTTTCTTATACCTTCCTCAAAAATAAGATAATAATAATATTTTAGGTGTGGAATCTTTAAATAATTCAGTGTCTTGCAGCTGCTCTGACAGAGAAGCCTTTGACTGCATAGCTTGTACTGTTATTTTTGTTCCAAAATGTGCTTTAATGAGGTGGGGGGAGCCAGTTCCTGGGGGCAGCCCTGTGCTTGGTGAGGTCCTAAGTAAGAATTGTTCAGAAAGAGAGAAAAACAAATCCAGAGATTTGAGGGAGTTAAATTCTACATCTCAGTGTGCACAGGAAACTGTTCATGAACTCCCTAAAAACAGGGCTGTCCTAACATAGGCAACCCACCAAGATCATGAACAGCTTCTTCCTGGAAATCTCCCGATTTTAAAAATATTTTAAAAATACCAGAAATTCCACCATGGCTTTCTCTACTACCAGATCTTGTGTTCCCTTTTTGAGCCAGAAAAACAGCAACTGGTTCCCAGGAAAAACCACTTCCTACTGAATGAGTTCTATGTACTCGGTGCCGAGTGTAATCTGCAATTCTACCAGCTGCAGGACAGAATTCTTAGCTTTCCCTTTCAGTCCTTCCGCACTGAGAAAGCGGTGAATTATTTCTTTAAAGCACCGAGGAGGCTCCCGACACAAGGGCTCGGGGGCTGCGATCCCCCTGTCCTGAGGGGAGCATTGGGACCCTGAGAGCAGAACTGCGACCTTGACGGGAAAAATAAGAACCTGAGGGGAAAGCTGAAATCCTGAGGGGAAAATTGGGATCGTGAGGGGATGGCGGCGACCCTGAGGGGAAAACTGGGATCGTGAGGGGATGGCGGTGACCCTGAGGGGAAAATTGGGTCCGTGAGAGGGACAGTAGCGACCATGAGGAGAAAATTGGGTCCGTGAGGGTTAAACTGGGTCCGTGAGGGGACAGCAACGACACTAAGGGGAAACTTGAGACTGTGAGGGGATGGCGGCGACCCTGAGGGGAAATCTGGATCTGTGAGGAGATGGCACCGACCCTGAGGGGAGAACTGTGATCCTGAGGGGAAAACAGCCCCGCTGAAGGCCGGGGCTGAAGGGAGCCGCTGCCAGCCCCATTCGCGCGGGTGCGGGCAAGCCGCGACCCCTGGTTCCGCCCGCTGGGGCGCCGCGGCGGCCCCGACTCACGTTTGACGAGCTCCTCGGGCGCGAAGCCCGCGGCACAGCTGGTGAGCAGCGCCAGCGGCCGCGCTGCCGCCGCCATGGCGCCCGCGCCGCGCCCCTTCCGCCGCGCCGCTACCACCGCCCGCGGGGGGGCGCGGCCGGGAGAGGGACCGGGCGGAGCGCGGGCTCGGCCCCCGCTGGATGCGCTGTCCCCCCCCCGGCGGCGGGGCGGATGGTGCGGCCCGGCCGGCGCGTCCCGTTGCCGGGAGCGGCGGTGCCGCCATGGCCGCGGCCGGAGCGGGGCCGGCGCTGCCCGGTGGGTTCGGACAGCGCCGGGAACGGCTCTTCCCTGCCCCGACCGGCCTCTCCTGCCCCGGCAGAGCAGCCGGGACACCCCGGGTCATCCCTCAGCATCCCGGGTTACCCCTTGGCACCCCGGGTCATCCCTGGGCTGAGCGCGGCGCGGCCGGTGCTGTGAGGGGACGGGGAACGCGCGGGGCTCGGCCCTGCCTGAGGGGCAGCGGGAGGGAGCGGGGCTCGGGCTGTGGGTACTGCGGGGTTTGGGAGCCCGGAGCTGTTTGCTTAACGTGAATACTCGGGTTTGACATGGGCTGGGCTCTCCTCACAGGCTGCCTGCAGTTTGTGTCTCTCCTCAAGGCTTTTGAGATCCCTGCCCGCCAAAAGCACCTGTGAGATGTGTGAGGAAACATCGTTCCTTAAGCGGAGGATCTCAGTCCTGAAGTTTATTGTCACTGCTCTGTGAGGTTTGTTTTAAAATTGAGTTTTTCCAGCCTTTCTACAATCAGTTTAAGTACTTGGCTTTGTATTCTCTTGTTTATAATAGTACAGAAGTATGGGGAGTCATATGGATCTTTTTTCCTGTATTTAGGAATAATTTAATTTGAGCTAACCCCATAGGGTTTGGTCGATTTTTGTCCTAACTTGCTTTTTAGATTCAAGAAGACATTCAGAAGCTTAAAATGGAAAAAAACAACTTGAAAGGAAATGCAGAAGCTGTGGATATTTGTGACCTCAGAAAAGCAACTGACAGGCCTGAACTTGGGCTGAGAGTAAGTAAAATAGAGCAGATCCAGACAATTATTCTGTTTTTTAAGTCTGTGTTAATAATTCACTTGGGCCACTTATTTGTTGTGTTACAAGATCCCTTTCCAATCAGCAACTGATGAGATTATTCAGACATTACAGTTCAGAATGATGGCTCCCTTTTTTTGGGTCATCAGAATTAACTGATCTTGATCAGCCAAAATCAGATTTTTAGTCCGACAGAGGCACAAAGTTTATCAACTTTTCAGTCAACTTTTCATTAGGCAACCAAAACCTGGTTGCCTAATGAACCAAGTTAAATAAAATTATCATCCTTTATATCTTTGTAATAGGCTAAACATATTTTTTCCCTCTAACAGAAACAAGCTGAGAATTATTCCAGTGTTATAGATGGCCAAGAGTTAACTCTTTCTTCAGCTGGTAATAAAGAAGTAAATTCCAAAGAGCCCTCTAAGTGGTAAGTGAAACCACTTACCACTTAGTGAAAAATAAGATGTTTTATTGCAGGAAGACACAAAAACTGAGGTGACGTAATCATGTAAAACAAATGGGAGTATTGCCCTAGAAAAAGTTAGTTTAGTCATTTTCTATTTTGATTTTAAGTTAAAAAAATATACAAGTGTAAATGCAATTCTAAGTGGGTTCAGCAGTGCTGTGCTAACTTGTGTGTTTTTACTTTTGCTAGATGCAAGTTTAAATAAAAATACAGTCATTTGGATGGAAGTGGGTGAAAGCAGAGTGGGTTTAGCAGGTGAAATCCAAGCAGTTTTTAGGAAGCTCACTGCCTGTTTCTGTCCCCAGCAGGAATCCTGATCTTGGAGCCTGTGAGCAGCAGCTGGTCCTGCCCCGGGTGCAGCCCCTGGCTGTGCAGAGGAGCAGCAGAGCAGCCCCACAGGTGTGACACCACAGCCTGATCCTGCTGCACATCCACGGGTGTCCTGTGCATCCCATAATGCTCTGACTGCCGTGGAGTCAGGCTTTGACATCAAGGTTTGATGTCAGGGTTTGAGAGCACCCCATGATGAAAGTGTTAAAAACCCTCAGCAGAAGCTGAGACAGGAGCCCTCTCCCAGCCCAGGGTAACATTTAGGTTGGGGAAGATCCCAGTGTCATCCATGCAGGGTGGAATTGGCCCTTCCCACCCACCCAAGCTGACAAAGCCACTTTTATCAGGTGGATTTTTATTAATAATTCCAGTCCTTGTTATCCTGTGTGGCACCTTCCCCTCTCTATTGATCATTTCCCTGGCAGCTGAGTGAGGAGTTTGCACTGGGAACCATCTCCTGCTTTAATTGAAAGGTGCTCAATTCCCCCAATTCTGGTTTTTAATGGCACCAGCAGTTTCCTCCCTGCATAACGGTGTGTTATGGTAATAAAATAAATACCACAAAAGCACTGATGAGGTGAAAATTGAACTTTCTGTCTCTGTGCAGCCATGTGGCTAAAAGAGTAATTGGCTTGGATAATAACTTGTGTTCTTACAACCCCAAATCTAAATGAGCATCTCATTGATACATCTGCTTGTAATTACCATCAGAAGAAGAGAGAATATATAGTGCAGATAAATAAATTAAAGCATTTTTACAGTTTTCACAAAGTAACACAGTTCTTCAATACTTCAAGTACACATCTAATGATTCTTGAACTTTTTATGGCATATTTTATTTCTAAAAATTGGAATTTTTCTGGATTTATTTTTACATTTATACAAAAGAATATGCACCAAAATATTTTTAACTTAAGAAACTTCTACTGCCATAAAAACATAGGGCATCCCTCTGGGGTTTATGGTATGCTTTAGGTGTTTCTTATAACAAGAAGAAACTTTTGAAGTCTTTTTCTGCCCATTGGGATTTAAATCATCATTATTTTTATTAGCAGATTAGTTGAGCTCATTCCATGCAGATCACAGAGTGCATTAAGAACTATATTTTAATTCTGATTACTGTCAGGGGTTTTTAATTCCTCATTTACTAATGGTCAGGTTCTGTGCCTGCATTGATGTGTCCATTTGGATAGTAGTTCTACTCCTTATAAAGTTTTCCATTTAAACAAAGGCACTTTGCTGTTTGCCCAGTTGTGTGGAGTCAAAAAATATCAATTTTTATAATTATTTTGCAAATTTACAAAATAATTATATATATATATATATTATATATATATAATATATATATTTATAATATATATATTATAAAATTTGCAAATTTGTTAGCCAGTTTCTACTTCTACACACTTCAGCTCCAGTGTAGTTATTTCAGGACTATCCCTATTCTATATTTCAGCAGCAGGTGGAAATGGATTTTAAAATTATGCTTGACCCAGAGAACATGGAGAATAAAACTGGTTTAAAACTTCCCAATGATGAGACCAGGCTGCCACTTATAGCTAAGAAAAAATCTGCTCCTGTAAGTAACTTTTATTATTTTATGGGTTTGTTGTATGCATTGCTTTACACTATTACGGTTAATATTTAGTAGTCCTAAATAAAATATTCACAATAAAGTAATTTCCTCATAATTTCCTGCTTTTTGACATGGGTATTTAAAGATCAAAATATTTTGAGTGGTGATACTGGGGAAAAGAAATCTGACATGTAACAGGTTTATGTCCCAAGATCCCAATCCAGCAAAAATAGGGATATGCATGGGATGTGCATGGTCAGGAATGTCAGGAAAATCAGGCAGAGATCAGCTGGAGCTTGGGGACTTCTGCATGTGACCCAAAGGTGCAGCAAGAATTAAAAGCCCATTTCTCTCCCTGCTCTGGGAGTGTTCAAATTGTGCAAGGTGAAGTTTTGATTTTCCCAAATTTCCCTCCTGCAACTGCAAATTTCAGTTGTGCTGCCAGTTCTGCAATTGTTCTGCAGCAGTTGAATGTAAAGATGATATTTTTAGCAAAGAATGCTTTAAAAAAAAACCCAAGAAAGAGTGGGCACAGCCATCCCTCCAAAGAATCAATTATGTTCACAAATTTAGCACAGCACTCTGGTCCACACAGCCAATAGTCTCACTTGGGGATGCTCTCCTAAAATTTAATTTATGTGACAGAAGCATCCTGCAGCAAGCCCAGTGCTCTAGGAGAGATTCTGGGTGTTTGGTTTTAAACAACACAAAGAGAATCTGTGAATGGCACAGTTGTGAGCTGCCACTTGTAAAAAAATGATTTTTGGAAAGCTGTTGCCCAGACTTGAGAGGTGATTTGTCTAACCCTGTGATAATAGAGTTAATTAGAAAAAAGCATCATGGCTAATAGGTTTTTAGAAGCACTCTAAAACACTCACAGAGAGGAATATGATCTGACTGCAGAGAGCCATGTGTTTTAGCGCTCTCCCTGAAACATGCACTGAGCACAGAGAACTTCTGGGGGATTTAAACTGCAAGCATTTAATGTGAATTGTGAATTGCTCAGGCTCCCAGACAGATATTTACAGTTACTGAGAAGCTGACAGCTTAAAAACCAAGCAGGTATTTCCTCTCTAATTTATTCCCTTCAAAATTTTAGGGCACAATGTGTGGTTTGGGATGTTCTGCCTTCTCTGGCTGTAAAATTTTTGCAGTTGCTATTTGCTAGATGTGTTTGTTGTTAAAGGGAGCGCTTAAGGGAGGGATTTTATGTGATCTGTATGATTATGCAGATGATTATTAGCGGTAAGGCCAATGAATCTGGTGCGGTTTCAGGTGCGCAATTTGGGTTAATTTGGGTAAATTTCCACTAAAGCGGCTGCGGAAGGGGCGGCCGGCAGGGGGCGCTGTCCGTACGCGCACGTCCCTGCGCTGTCCGCGGGGTCAGCGAGCGGCTCCCCAAAAAACCCCAAAAATCACCCGCACCCGAGCAAATTCCAATTAAATTCCAGATTTAATTGCTTGTCTCGCGCCATTCAGGGGTTTCCAGCGAGGGCTGAGCGGCTGAAAGAGTTGTGAGGTTGGAAAGTCGGGGTTGGAGGTGACCTGAGGGGTCAAGCACAAATCTACCCGGACTTTTTATTATCCTGCCATTCCACTAGTTGGAAAAATTATTAGTCAGGGTTTCATTGTTTCACCAAAAATGATGTCTTTTCTTGCTCTTTTGGTATTATGAAGTTGCTGATGCTGGGTTTTATCATAGAAACTAAGAACAATTAACTGTTGCCCTTTTGGACCTTTTTGGGTCTAATAACAATGCTTCATCCTCTGCCAAGTTCTGTAGTTATTTTAAAATGAGGGCTATAATTCTCTTTGAAACACACACTGGGCATCACTTTTTTTTTGCTGCTTATATCTGAATGAGAGATGTAAAATGATGAGTGGATAATTATTAAATATGTATACTTCCCATGGAGTATCCAGCCAAAGGAAAAGTAATCTGAATTGCAGCAAAAATAATTCTGATGCACTGCTGCAATGTAGAAAAGATTCACAGCTCTACCTTCTGTTTTCATAGGGCTGCTGTTCTGTTACAGAATTATACTGGCACTTTTGGGTCCTTGTTTTCTTATAAATGTATATTATACTGTAAACTTAGGAACCTTTTCATTTATTCATGAGGTAGAATTTAATATGGTGATGATTTCTAGCCTTTATGAGTTGCATCTTATCTAGTGTGGCTCTAATGGTGATGGCAATGATTCTGGGGCTTTTTTTAAGCTCCCTTGTTTGAGCACAACCATTCTAATCATATCTTCAATTATTCATTCTTTATTCAGCATTTGCATGCTGCTAATCATTAACTCTTATCCCTGAAAGTGTATTTATTTTCAAAATTATAAAGCAAAGCAGGGAAATTCCTTTCATTTCGAGTGACTGGAGGAAGATGCAGAAGAAATCCAGGTTTTTTGGTGGCCCAGAGCTGATTGTGTTTTAAAGCCAGGCATGTGGCTCTAATTACAGCCAAAGCAGAGTTTGGCAGTGGTGGCAGGATGAGACTTAAACAAATTGATGTCACACTGCAGTAAATCAAAAGAAGCTCCTTGCATTTGTATTGGGGTGTGTGATCATAACAAGCAGCACGGTGATTGAATAAAATCCTCTTGTCACTAAAAATAAAAAGGAAATAATTGCTGGGAGAGAGTTAAGGTAACAGATGAGTGCAGTCAGCATCCTCTCAACCTGGAAATGGGAGTGTGAAGGTCACCCCATCTCTCCTGACAAACACAGAACGTTTTGTTGGTAAACAAATTAATCTTTTGAAAGGTCACCATTTGTTTGAAGTTTTTATCCAGTTCTTGTCATGTGGAATTGGAGCTGGAGTGTGATTTTGCCAGGCAGGGGTGCAGGCAGAGCTGCTGAGGCTGTTTGTGTGCAGCCCAGCATTCTGTGCCTGCTTGGGATGCCATGGGCTGCTGCTCACAGCTGGACAGGGAGGGAGCTCACCCTGAATCCCAAGCAGGGATTGATCCCACAAATCCTGGCCCTCTGCCCACCAGGAAAGCATCCTGTGCTTCAAGGCAGCAATTATCTGCCTCACTCCCTTCTGTGCTGTTTGACCGAGCAGATGTGGGATGCACCAAAGTTCTCCCTTCATTCTCTGTCCCACCTGTTAGGGAGGAGTTCTGATGGATCTGGGTTTCTGGGAGAGCTGGAGAGCTCAGGAAAGGGGCAAAGCTCAATTTTTTCCAAATTGATCGTTCAGAGCCATCTCTGGCTACTTTTAAGAGCTTAGAGAAGGTAAAGATCTTTAACACAAGATCTGTTGTTAAAGATTCAATTCCAGATTTTTCCAGTTGAACTTACCCTCTCCAAGCCCTTTCCTGACAGGCTCCTGAACATCCTGAAAAGTGACCTTAGTTCCATTGGATTTATTTTGCTGTGCTTCCTCTTTCCCTTTATAGGGGTGAGTGTTGTGTCTATCAAATCCTGACAGAAATTTCTTAACAGCAAATGTGACAGTTTGGAGAAGATTCATTTATCATTCCACCTATCTGTTATATCCCTTTTTTCCCATCACTATCAAACCCTCAGATTTTCTGATATTTATTTACCACATCCCATCTCTCTGTTCCTGGTACACAATACTCCTCTTTCCTCTGTATTTAATACCAATCTCTGTTTTTTTACTGGAAGAAAAAATACTTACAAAGATATTTACCAAAAAACCACAAAAAAAAAAATGTTCTAGTTAAATATTGCTAGGTAAAAAGAAAACAAATAGAGAACTAATCAGAAAAATCCCTGTGGTGTTCCAACAAGTGCCCTATTTAAAATGAAGCAAGAAGAAAGAAATTTTAGAGAGGTTTATCCACAGGAGAAAAACACTTTAGAAAGGGTAATAGAATTGTTTTCCTTGTGTCCCAGGTTAATTACACTCAGAAGCACTTGAAATGAAAAAATAGTTTTTTAGCACACTCCAAGCATATTTTAAGGCAAGTCAGCCTTGGTCTGCCCTGCAATTTAAGAGCTCCCTTCCAGCCCTGCAAAACTGAATTTTAGAAGTGCTCATGATGAAGCAGTGATGTTAAAACTAAAACCTTTCTCTTGCAGTACTTAATATTATATTTGAGGTCTTATTATGGTTGTGTTGGTGTAATTTTAGTGGCAGTAACTCCCAGAATGGCAGCAGCTGGGCAGTTTTGCTCTGGTGTCTCCCTGAGGTCTCCAGGAGGGAGCAGAGCAGCGCTCAGGGTGCTGGGGGTGAAGGGGTGGGCTGGGATTTTCATGGGGAGCTGCTCTGGATCAGCTCCCTGTGCTCCTGTCCTGGGCAGTGCCAGTGAGAGATTAAATTCAATTCCATTTCTGTTCCATCAGCCCTTGTTCTAACACCACACCTGCCATGGACTTTATAGAAATTAATGGGTGCAGCACAAAAGAATTAAATATCTGTCTCCAATTAAAAAAAAAAATCAAAACCCCCAAGCCTCCAGGCTGCTTTTGAACTCACACACTGCACCTGAACTGCTTTTCCTTGCAGCTTATTCCATCTCTATGAACACAATGAAAACAAATACATTTCATGTGCTGTTTATCATAACAAAACCTCATAACTGGGATTTCAATTAGGATAAAACTGACCAGGAGTTAAATCAGTGCTGCCCTACTGCTGCACCAGCAACAGTCTGGAAGAGGAATCACTGTTTAATTCAATTTCTTACATTTTTATGTATTTTTGCTGTGGCCTCACCAGACTGCTGGGTTGAGGGTGAGCAGGAAAATGTGGTTTATGATTTCCTTTTCTCAGTATCACTGACATGGCAGCAGACATGAAGTTAACCTTTGTTCCATGGTTATTGCTGTTTTCTTGGAACACCAGGACATGAGGATTCATCCATCCCTTAAAACAGAATGCTCCAGGATGGCCATAACTGAAATGAGGCCTGGGATTGATCTGAAAGGTTCTCTGTGATGATAAAAAGTGCAGATTTTCTCTCCCTCATCTCTTGTGGGCAGCACTGTTAGACAAACTGGGAGGAAAGATTGGAATAGTTAATTTGGATCTGTCTCATTTCCCTCCTGAGAGTTCCTTCTCTTTTTAGAAAGTTGCTGGGTGCTGTTATTCAATAATTAGGACACAACAGTGCTCCAAGATCCCAGTCCTGGCTTGGATTGCACTAAAAGCTTGATGATCACTCATTAAAAGCTAATATTTTAAAGTATTTTTTTCTCCTTCTGCTTCCTTACCTGTTGTATGCATTTTATCTTTTTTAACACCATTCTGTCAAGAAACACTGCTCAGTTTTAAGGAGAGTAGTGTAAATACAAACTTCCTGAGATCCCTTCATTAAATAGTACACAAGGCATCAATTAAATTTAATTAACTTTATTTTCAATGACTGAAGCAACAACAGCAGACAATACTGTAGCATGTTCACAAGTAATAAAAGGAGTGGTGCACTGTTAATTCTTAATGAAACAGTCACAGCAGAAATTCTGTTTATTATTTATTGCTGCAGGAGAATGTGTAAATGTGTAAATCCCAGATTTCCCTGTGTCACAGGAGGTTCTGTCTCTCCCAGGTGTGCAGCCAGAGGACAGGGAAGGATCCCACAGCCCCCAGCCCCTGGGCTTTGCCTGCCTTCCTCTCCCTGGGCTCTCCCTTACCCCTGCTAGAGGAGGACTCCCCAAAAGGTGAGTCCCAGAGGTCCTGGGTGCTGCTGCTTCCAGCAGATGTTTGGGAATGGAACTTCCTGCCCCCTCCAGGCTTCCAAGAATTGTGATTTCAGACATTACAAAGGGTGGGGTGAACTTTAGGGTGTAGGGTGATGGAGGGTGTGCAGTGTGTCCTGTGAGCATCACCCTGAAGAGCTCTGGAACTCACAGGGTTCAACTGAATTGTGAATTGAGGTTCTGGTCTAAATGCCACTCAAGCTATCATGATTAACAGCTGGTTTTTAATTGTCCAGTCTTAACTAGGCTTGCACTGTTTTAGCAATCAGTTTTTAGTGGTAATTGCATGATTATATTGTGCTTTACAAGAGTTGATTCTCATCTATTCTGCATATTAAATTGTATTGTACAAACATAGATATGCAAACATATTTCAGAGTTAGCACCGGTGCAATATCTTACATGTATTTATCAGATTTTATAGGCACAGCTCACCTTCCTTCAAGGTAAAATATTGACTATTTAAGATAGGAATCTTTCAATTAAAGGAAACTGCTGCTTTTGTGGTGTTGATGCAGAACTTGGAATTCTTTCTTCATTGCCAAGAACTCCTTGTCATTCCCAGCTGGAATTGCTCAGGAGTTCCATCTCCTTGTAGGTGCCCTGAGCCCCAGTGGCCAGAGGCTGATCCTCCCAGCAGCACTGGGAGCTCTGCCAGCCCCTCCTGCCGTGCCCAGAGCAGCTCCTGGCCCTCAGTTCCCCAGGCAGCACAGGAAACCAGCTCTGGGTGAGTTCAGAGCCCTGCAAACAACCTTCAGCTGCACCTCCAGCTCCGCTGCCAGGCTTTATCTCCCACTCACCAAATTCTGCAGGGCACAAAGCACAGGGAAATCCTGTCTCCTGCAGCTGGGTAGGAATCAGATTTCTTCATCCCTGGGAGGGTTTGGTTCCTGTTCATTCTGGGCTCCTCCTGTTAGCGCTCAAAAACACACAATCACAGGGGATTATATGTGGTGCTTTTTATTAAGAGCTCTGGGAATCGGGGTATATTCAACCCAAATCTGACTCCGACCACACATCCGAAATGATCATGTTTTATACTCTATCGTTACAGAACTTTCATGTTAATTATTAAACTTATATTGTTCTATTGTATACATAAATGTAGCCCCTCTCTGAATTTCCAACATAGTTTCTCACTATTCTTCTTATGGTTATATAATAATTACATTTAATTACTAAACAATCATCACATCCAACAGTTATATAATTTATGACACTGCTTACGCAGGTGCAGTTGATCTGGGAAAGCACAAAGCCTAACATTTTAGATTCTATCTTTAACTTTTTCCAGGGTTCCACTATCACTCCTACCTGCACCTTTCAAATTTTAAGCACCCAAATCTGAAGCTCTGCTCAGTGTTGGGTGCTGGGAATCATGACTTTGACCAGATGATCAGGCCTCTATTTACCACATGATTAAATTAACAACTGATAATAAGTAGATAAAAACTGCAATCCACGTTTTATTTGTACAGGAGAGATCAGTGTCAGGCTGGACCCTGAGAGCACAGACACCATCACCCTCCCAAAGCCAAAGGAAGCAGTTTATGGCACATATTCCTCTAGTAAAGGGAGCATTCCACCACTCCTATCAAGCAATTCTGTGGTTTCAACAAGAAGATCAAGGCCAGAGTGGAGGTGTCCAGCTCAGCAGTTGCAATCTGAGGTGCACATTCCCCCTCAGACACAGGTAACTGGTGGAAGGGGTCACTCAGTGAGGATAATGAGGGTTTTATTTGTGTTTTTAATACTGTCTTCACCAGGGCTGGTTTAGGGAGGGACTGGAAATCACAGGAGGGTTTGAACCACATCCAGTAAATACTGAAATAAAATAACAAATACTTTGTGTATTCCCAATTTCTGCTCTTTCAAGTCTTCTACCTGAATTTGTCTGTGGTTTTTTTTTTCACAGAATCTTAGAAAATTAGTTTAGAAAGGATGTGAGGAGGTTATCCAGACCTCCAGGCAGAATTACTTGTACCTGTAATATTGCAGACAGCTGTTTCCTAACCTGTTCTGAAAACTTTGGGTGATAGCAACCCCTCAGCCTCCCTGGGCCATCTGTTCCAGTGCTTAACTAACTATCTTTACTGTTATAAAGGAGTTTTTGAATGCTTCATCTCCATTTCCCTCACTGCAGTTAAACAAATGTGGTGTTTCCCTTTCTATTTACAGAAGACTCTGGGGGACTTTGACCTTGACTGCTCTTTGTTCCTGATCCCCGTGGAAAAGGGACATTTCTTTCTTTTGTGGATAATTACTGTGCTCTGTGACAAAATCTCTGGACTTTTGCTCCATCTTTTCAGACTTTTTGACTTTTGTTCTGTTGAGGAGGTGTGAAAATGAGAAAGTAAACTTGGGAAATGGAGATTGTGGAATCATGGAATGGTTTGGGGTGGAAGGGACCTCAAAGCTCAGGGACACCTTGCACCATCCCAGGGTGCTCCAAACCCCATCCAGCCTGGCCTTGGGCACTGCCAGGGATCCAGGGGCAGCCACAGCTGCCCTGGGAATCCATCCCAGCCCTTGCCACCTTCCCAGGGAACAATCCCTGTCCAAACTCCCATCCATCCCTGCCCTCTGGCAGTGGGAGCCATTCCCTGTGTCCTTTCACTCCAGAGCTGTAACACCCTCCCCATCTCTCTTACTGCCAATGAGATGTTGAAATAAATAGCAATAATTACCTAAAAACAGTGTGAGTGTAATGCCCTTAGATTGGAAATCAGAGCTAATGAGTTGCTGGCTGAAGTTGCCAGGAGTTAGGGAGTGCTGGGATGTTTCTGTTCCAAGCTTTACCCCATTTGCATTTTTATGGGAGGATGTTTCCCATTCTCCTGGGAAAGGTGGAGGCAGCCTCAGTGCAGGAATGCCACTGCAGTTACTTGCTGCTTTTAGTCCAGTGAATCTGTAAAGTTTAATTTTTATATTTGGTAAATCAAGCACTCCTTGCTGCAATTGATGTATTTTTTTTTACACTGCTCAGAGTTTTGCATGACCCTGGAGGTTTTTGTGTGGCAGTGGGTGTGATGGTAGAGCTGGGCAGGATTTGTGGCTCTAGTGGACAGAACCAGGATCAGTGCATTTCAGATTCACAAATCCCCTCAATCAAGTCATAAAAAATAACAAAAAAAGTGCATTTTGACCCCTCATTTACAGCCCATCTGTGATTCTTCTCTTCCCACAGCCCCCACAAACAGCTCAACCCTTCCAGGATCCCTGCTTGGACATTGCTGTTCAACAGAAAGCTCCAGGTGTTCAGGCCCTCCAACACCTCCATCATTCCTCCTGGGGGAGCACTGTGGGGTTTTTGGAACCCCCAGAAAAGCTCCTCAAAGACCACTCTGTCCCTCTGGCCACCATCAACAGCCAAAAGATGGCACAAATCACCTCGGACTTGGATTTCA